CATGAAGTTGTATTTGTAACTGGAAAATTGCAAGAACTTTCTTGCCTGTACATGTTACAGTAAAGCTCAAAATTCAGGTAGTGTTCTGTTTCAGAGAGGAAAGAGGAGGAATCATTGAGTGCAGAGATCAAGGTATGTGTTGGGGGTGGGAGAGGAAATCATCCTTGAAGTCTGCACTAGTTTTTGGAAAACTGAAAGATTTAAAAAGTAAGTGACTGTTCCTACCAGATCTTCATCCATAGGCATCTACAGTGCGTGTACCCATTGTTTGTAGTCATTCTCAAGAATGAAAATAGCAAATAGGGAGATACCATGGGCTATTTGTGCTGAGAGATGTTCTACAACTTCATTGTGACATGGTAACTTCCTCATGTTGTTTCACAGGCAGTTATGGAATAAACAGTCCAGATAGCTTAGTAGGTAAAAATACAGCAAACTGTTTTGTCTTTCAGTTTCTAAAGCTATATTGTAAATATAAAACTATATATATATATATATATATATATATAAAACTCTTTGCAACAGTCTAGCTACTGGATTTTGTTAATGAAGGTGGTTTTGGTTACAGTAGCTGAAATCCTTCCGGTCTCTTAAATTACTCCTACTGGTCTAACAGCCAAAATGTGCTGCTTTTCAAAGAGGTGGGAATAAAGGGAATGCCCGTTTTATTCAGCCTGATAAAATACACTGAAATTCAACTTTAAGCAATTTCAGTAGTGGGAGAAGAGACCCTTCTAGGAGAGAAATCTCTCTAAAATCAAGCAGAGGAATAAGAACCTGGAAATGCACAGGTGTTCATGAAGCAATGGACAGTTTATTTTGTGAAGCAAAGACATGAAGGCCAAATTGCTTTGTTTTCAGGAAGTGATCTGATTACAGATGAAAATGAAGCATGATGAACTGTTTGTATGCCTTGATTTTACTCTAGTTTTTATAAGATAAGTGCAGCTTCAGTTCTCTGACCTGTTTCCTCAGTGAAAACACTGAGCTGTCCCTTATGCACTCTCAATAAATGAATGTGTAGCACGCTGCATATTTGTGAATATATTCACTCAACTTCTTCCTCTAAATTTTCAAAACTGTGTGAGATTCACACTGTCTCCTGCTTTTGTTTTTCAAAATGATTTTATTTCATTTGAAAATGAAAAAAAAATAAATAAATTAAGAATATGAAAAAATATTTTCTTTCATCTTCTTTTCAGATCTGGATAGCTCTGGCTGGGCAAAAGGTTATACCCCTATTGACTTTGAACTCTTGTGTCCGGATGGAACTCGTGCTGCAGTCACAGAATGGGCAGGCTGCAACCTTGGCCCTATTCCTCCAAGCACAGTCATGACTCGGCCAGTCACTGTCACTAAAATCTATGACTTCCTAATGAAATCCCAGGTAAGGCAGGTAATGGGGAAAAAGTTAGTTTATCACTTATTATGTGCAACTTCTGAAAACCTTTTCAACATCAAGAGCTTTATATTACTAAATATATAGTGTCTTCAGGTCTGATATGAAATAATTAAAAATTTTCACAGAAGATTGAGAAAATAAATATTTATTCTCTAAAGGACACCAGTTGCCATTCTGAAATAATCATACTTTTGCTGACAAATAAGCCACTACAGAAATGCATCTTTTTGAATTACTAATGAATAGCGCTAGGTGAAAGTATTTTTTTTCTCTAGATTCTGCTATAAAACTGATGGCCTTAACCTTGTTATTTATAATCCAATTTGCAGAACTTATTTATTTTCTGTTTAGGAATTTTTGGGAACAAAGCTGGATTCTGAATTCCATCTTTTTGAGTCACAGAAGTATGGCGAAAGTGATCTGCTTTTCAAAGATACTACTCAGTACCTTGTTGGTGCAAGTCACATGAGCTACCAGGAAATTCTTGGAGTGCCTTTCTTTCAACTGGCAGAATCGGTGTTTAATTGTACACCTGCAGGTAAAGTCTAGTTCTTCATTCTGAGACAAAAGTGCAAAGCAGGAGATCTTCTGTGCATAGATATTGCCCTTTTGTTTACTTTGAACAGAGAGGTACGTTCCACATAAGCCTGTTAGTAAAAGTAGTTCAGCGTTTGGAGCTCCTTTAGAGCCTCTTACCACCCCCATTCATAAGCACTGAAATTGGAGCTCTGCAGGAATAGAATAAACAGTACGTTTTAGAGCAAATACAAGGTTACTGATGTAAGATTGCGTTACTCCCACTGATTTTTTTTCCCTTCTTCTCCAATGATCGGCGTTGGGATAAGGGAATATAATGTTCATTTGGGTATGGCAAGCTTGGGAAAAAGATAAGAATTCTTATATTTAACTCTTAAATTAACCTAAAAGTAAGCTAAATAATTTCAGTTTTAAAGAGTGCACTAAAAAGCACTCTAAAGAACTCAATATCAAAACCTTTACATACTTATGGACAGCTTTTTCATTATTTTCCTGTGTGAAGTGTGCATTTAGCTATCACTAAAACTGACCCTACCTGTAAGTCAGGGTCAAGCTGTTTTGGGATCTGAAAATCTGTACTGAAATAAATAAAGCTTATGCAGTGAATTAGACATCTGCAAATCTAGAAGTTGTTAAAGAACTGAAATTCAAAAGGAAATTTCACATCTGTTCTGTTCTAGTGAATAGTAGCTGGAGAAGTTGTAATATCCACAGCATTTTTAAGTATGTGTTTTCTTACTGGTTTGTAGGCATTTTAGACTTTTGCAAACAGGACATCTGTACATCCTCATCAAACTGATGGCTAATAAAGGACTTTGCAAGGTACCTACCACCACCAATGCTGAAAACAAGGAAATACATGAAGTCCAGTCTATTGAAAGCAATCAGTAAGGAAACTGCCACCTCTAGAAACGTATGCTGAATAATGTTTTGTTACGATCTACATATTTTTTAAAAAGCAGATGTTATGTTTATGATCATGTAATACTACTCATGTGTCATCCTTTTCTTGTTTGGAGCATGGCATCATGTGAAACAGAACACACCAGTCTGCCTTAACCCACATCACAGAACTGGGATCAGCAATTCTGAGCAACTACTATGGAGGATTCAGCATTTTTGGGGGAAGAGAGGGTCAATGCAATGGACTAAAATACAGGCTGTCATGAAGGGCACAGGTTAGTGGGTAGTAGTTTGCCTTGCTTTTCTTATTATATCTTTTTAAAACTGTTTTAATGAAAAAAAAATCAACTGGTATTTTGGTAGTTGCAACATTAACCTATATTTGTGATTTTGTTTGCTGTCTGTGTTGAAAATGCATATGTATCATGCATTGTGTATGCAATTGCTATCAGAAGCAGTAGTCTTTTCTACTTTTAATGGGGGAGACTGTATTTGCTTTTTTAACTATGGGTTTATACTGGTAAATCAAAATATTTGTCTCTCAACTTAATGTATTAAGGCATCTAAGAGCCAGCAGAACTGGATTCTTGCAGCCTTAAGGCAAAAGAAAGCAATGGATACACATACTTCTCAGAAACATCAACCATTACATTGTATTTTGACACTTAAGTATCTAAATATGCATTATTAATTAAACCAAACATTGTTTTTACGAGCAGAGACTATCTGAACATATGAAGTCTTCTGATCACAGTGCATCATGCCTTTGTTTTGCCTGGATTAAAGATTTTGTGTGGATGGCTACTCAGAGGCAGGGCTCATTTTAGTTTGCAACAACAGTGTTACTAGCTTCTACTTTCATGCTGCCAAGTTAAGTGACTTTAATTAAAATAAATAAAATGAAAAACACTAAAACCCATCAGAAACACAACTTTCACCCCAAACACTCCCACCCTTGTTACATAATGCAGTTGCATTAACCACAGCTACCAATAAATGAAATGGAAACAGTGAAGACAGGTCAGCTGCAGTAGAGAAAGTAAATGTATTTGCCATACAAAGCTTAAAATGCAACACCAGCAATAGAAAAACAATAAAACCCCTCAACACACCAAAACTATCAGCAGGAACCAAAGCTACTCTAGATGCAAAATTTACTGCTAAAACTATCTTCTTTTGAACAGTTTATTTTGTGCCCATGTTGTTTTTCCCTTGTTCAATTTACACTACTTTCTCTCATTCCTCTTTTCAGTTCCCTAGGAAAAAATTAATCGCACTCCCAGCACCAGTAAGGGTTTTCAATTCTATGCTAAGATGCACAGAATCTAGACTGTTTGTTTGTTGCATCATTTGGCATTGACTAAGCCAATAGCAGAGAGTGGATGCAAATCCAAACTCATCTATCTACCTTTCAGGAAGAAAGTTGAGAAGATGAGCGTAGGCAAGTCCCAGTATCGTAGCAGAGCAAAATCTTCGTATACAGCATTGGTGACAGCAAGCTATAGCCTTGAAGTGGGGGAACAGTAGGGGCCTAGTTTAAGTCTTGAGGTGCTCACTCCCTTTCTTTACTGGAGCTTATATGCCATCTGCAGGACTCAGGTAGCCCTGCACTTTCAGAAAGATGAGAATAGGGTGAAGTGCAACAGCCAGTTTTTAGCTTTGCCAAGAACAGAATGCAGCTGAATGTGCAGCGAGTTGAAAACATGGGTGATATGCAAGATATTATCAGCTCTTGGGAAGTGGGAGTTATTTTCTGTTATAGATATTACAGAGGCTTGAATAGCTCTGTTTAGTGTTCCTATGCTTCTGCTTTGGTTTAAAAGCTGTAGGTTGATGTCTTGCACAGACTTGCAGTGTGTGAACCACGGGCCTCTTCCGGCTTTGAAGCATTGGGTTCTGAACCTAGTGGGTACTGTTTATATGGTACTACTCTACTGCCTTAAGAAATGGACGTTGTCTCAGCAATGTAAATATTAGTTAGGAGTGTGTTTACAATGCCCCAGGTCTGTCCGGGTAAAGTATGGCTACAGCTGAACAGTGCAGTGTTGAATTGCTGCTGCATGGCTCAGTAACAACCCATGCAATTACTTAAGGGTGTCAACCTCTTCCCACCATGTTTGTAAGACAGAAGTATCAGGCATAGTTACTAATACAAGGCTGAAAGTTTCTCAGAAAAATTTATTTCCATAAATTAAAAACACACACAAAAGAAACAATAAAATTTTAGATTCACACAATATTGAACAGAAATAAAATGCCAAGAGCATGATGGAGGCTAATGGCACAGGCATACAAATTCTCATTGCGCTATATGTTGACATAATAGCATTATATAGACGTTTAATCCACAGTTAGCATCCATATTCTAGAAGAGCACCTGAAACATAATATACCAAAGGCCCACCTCAAATGAAATACAATAAATGAAAACTGCTTGCAGAAAATCAGCAAGCATCAGAACTCAAACGTATGCAGCCACAATGACAGTCAGGCAAACCTTGCAACACATAAAGTAGCCTTAGCTGCTCCAATTGTAGCATGATGAAAGAAAGATTTTGTTTTCAGGAAAGTGATCCTTCTACCTCCCATAATCAGTAAATTTAGCAAAAAGCTGCCTGGCTCTGAAAAACATACTGCTACATGATGGTACCTGGCAATCTGCAATTCTCAGACTGCTCTAGTCAGCAATTGGTGAGCAATATATACAATGTCTTTCCATGATGATACAAAAAAAAATCCTCACTGGAGTGGGTTCTCTCTACGAAAAGGCAAGTGTACACATCTTGCAGCTGAAGAAGTATTTAAGACCCCAAAATATGCCTCCTCAATATTTTTTTTTCCTTCAATTACCTGAGACAGAAGCAGCTCAGAGTGGCAAATACCTACCTTTGCACCATCCTCACTCCCAGTTACAAGCAGCAGCCACAAGGAACAAGGCTGTTCCGTGAGTGTTGTAAATAGGGACAGAAGTGGGAGAGGGAAAAAAGGAAAAGTGCACAAGAATGACTGACATCTGTTCCTGAAGGGTGTGTGGGGAGGAAGAAAAAGATGCTTTGTTTCAGTTAGTTTGCATCTCTATCATACAAATACTAAACCAAAACAGAATAATGCTGTATATCTGGGTTTCCACAAGCTCTAAGGCGTGGGACAAACTAGGAAACTGCTAAATTATTTTCTAAACTCCTTCAGTTTTTGTACATAAAAGGGACTCTGGCATTTTCTTTCCTCTGCTCTCTCTCCTGTAACTGTTAAAGAGCTATTGTGTTATTTCAGAATCAATCAGAAATAAGGCAGAGTAAGGAAGCAGACAAAAAATACAACAAAACAACCCACACACAAAGGAAACAACAACAAATTCCATGTTTTGAAGCACGCTAGAGGTATGAACTGTTCTTGGACCCAAGTTACCTCTCTCCTCACCCATATCCTTGTTTTCTTAAAAGCCCCAGTGAGGTTACAGCTCAGTTGTGTCACAGCACTAGAAGACTGCCATATTAATAGAAGGTAAATTAACACTGTGCCACAATCCCATTCTACAGCATTAAAACCATAAAAAAGTTATATATATGTACATATACATATATATACACACACACATATACATACATACATACACGCACACATCACTCTTGCTACAGCTTCCAGCCAGTCAATTTTTGGGCAATAAATCAACATATGGAAAGTTATGAATATTTTTTGAAAAGGTGGTTGACCTTTATTTTTTTTAGGGAATTCTTTTTATAAAAATAAAGAAGATCAATTAAAACGTTCTGCAGCAGCTCAAATAGGTTAACCAGACCTTGCTGCTGAAATAGTATGTTAATATGTTCAAAGTTTGCCTACTTTGTTATTCTATCCCCAAAACCCAAACAACACTACTCTAAGTCTGCACTCTTCTCTTTTCTTCAGTCTTCCTGATTAAAGATAATTTGCCTCCTAAACAAGAATGTAAACTTCTAGGAATCCCAGCATGCAAGCTGAGAGCAAAACAAACCCAGAATACATTTCTCTCAAGACTCAGGCACAGAGAATGTAATATTCCTCTTTCATCTCTCTACTTCCAAAGCTCTGGAATTCAACAGATTGCTTGTTAATTTTGAGTTTCCTGTTAGGCCAGTAACAGAAATGGCAGAGCAGCAGAAGATAATGATGGTATTTTCAGTCCTGCATTGACTGGGACTTGATTAAAATACCTACCCACTAGATATTTGCTCATTCTGAAGGTGAATAGGAACTTCAGTATATGGGTAGGTAAATAAGAAAGTGCAAGTTTTAAGTGACAAATAAAAGAATAGACTAATTAGATTTGAGCATCCCAGCAATGACGGCTTTGCATGAATAACTTCTATAGGCACTAAAGGACAGAAATTACCTGTACTGCAGCTAGCATTCATTTTGAATCATGCTTCAAGTAGGTTTAACAGAAGTTACCCCAGAAGGGAGCTCTCTTCCTTGAAAAGCTATAGCTGAGAAATTGCCCAGTGCTGCATCAGATAATTACAAATGGCCTCACATAATGAAAAAAAAATACTTTTGACATCTTTGACATCTTTGTACAGCACCAGCTATTATGTACAATGGTGCTGTACAAAGGACATCTAATTTTGAGCTATATGGATTGTAAAACTAAAGTGTTTTAGAAAAATCTTTTTTTTTCCTGTTGGTGTTAAAATGAAGCTGATATTTTTACTGAAATTAAAATCATTTAAAAATGAGAATCAAAGATTTTGCTGGTGTTTCCAGTATGCAGCAGCTCAGCTCAGTTAAATTAAAAGCTCTACTTGCATATGCTGTGACTTAACATCCTCATGGGCTTTGCCTCTGGAGAAGAGGTATAAAGCATCAGCCAATTAGGTAAAAACTTACTCTGCTATTGGGGAAAAGTTAGCACTGGGCACCTTCTTTTCTGAAAATATTATTATTTTTAAAAATCTCAGATCATGTTAAAAGGTGTCCTCATACTGCAAATACACAAATATATACAAAGTGCAAGTTATTTAAATTCTAGTTACGTGGGGCTTCTGCTGCCTGAAGCCAGAAAGGGCCAGAAAGTCAGAAGGAACCTTCTAAGTAAACAGAAGGAAGAAATAATTGAAAGCAAGCCCAGACTGCTACTTTTAATTATTAAAAAGTTAGTGGTATATCAGCAATGTGTTTGTTAAAACTTATCTTTACCAAACACCATATCTCTTCTGTCAGGTTGTTCAAAATAGCCATTACAGTAGTAACAGCAGATTCAAATGTGCAAATGTTTTGGAGTACAGAGTTCTAGCATCACTGAAGGTACACTACGTCCTCTTTTATACTCCTACTCTACCCTCAAAATGTTGTTAAACATCATTAAACATTAGCCGTAACTTCCAGAGGGTGGGGAAGGAAGGGAAGTCTTAACATGGCTGTGTTGCACTCACACTGGGACCCTAAGAGGATCCCTCCAGTAGCATTAAAAAAATAAAAAATAGCACCTTAAAGAGGGACACAGCCAATAACTTATCATCAGGTATTAGAAGAGAGTGGTAGAGTAAGGTATGAAGAAGTCAGTAAATTTCTCCCAGAAGGACTAAAATACTAAAGTAGCTGATTTGGGCCATATTCAGCTGAGTGGCTCCCTAGGATGACAGAGGCCTGCTCCTGCTCAGCCTCCTTTGCAAAAAAGGCTTCAAGGTCCATTAGCTTCTGACTCAGAAGGGCATCTAACTCTGCACTTTGTAGTGCAGCTCTTTTTGCTCGAGTGAAACTACCCACTGCTTTGATTTTGCCTCGTGCTTTCCTCTTCCGAGGAAGAGTGAAGTCCTGAAACTCTAGAATCCGCTTTCTCTTCTGCTGGCTGACAGAGATCAAGTGTCCATTTTTCTCCTTGGGCTCTTCAAAGATTGTTTCCAAGCTCCTGGTAAAAGCGAAAGATAGAGCTCATGAACACTTCGGAAGCAATTAACCACCTTACAAAGACAGGGAGACTGATTCATTCCGTAACCCAAGTAAACACACTTTTAACTTTTACATTTTTTACAGCCCCTCCACATCCCTTCTAATCTATATTTATCTGCAGCTTACATTACGCACATTTATACTGCTAGCTATGTAATTTGTTATTGTTGCATAGACACCTGGGTTGAATCTCTTTGTATTTCAGTTCAAAAACACAACTGTAGACCTTGATTTTATAGAATAAATAGATTTGAACATTAAAAGACATGCTACTCTTGATAGTCGTGCTCGACTTAGGGAGTTATTCTTGTGGTTCTAAATAATAATTAGTTGCCTTTTACTTCTGAAAAAATTAGAATTGTACTTGGATGGAGAATAGAATGAATGAATAGATGAAAAAAATACACAAGCTCATATAACTGCAAAATTTTAGTTCATATTCTCTTTCGCTGCTTTCCATCCAAATACTAAGAGATACTAATTTTTGACCAAGTTTCCTTATCTTTGTGAACTAGAGCAATTTTTCAAATGTAACTCCCCCTTAGATTTCAGACACCTTTAATCTTCTCACCAGCAACCTACATTCATCTTAGTGTTCTCAATAGGAAGCAGAACCAACCTGGCTGGAGGAGGGGACTTGTAGTTCTTGTTTGTGTAAATTTCTTCTAAACTAAATTCTTTTTTCTTAAGCCTGAAAAAGTAATGAACAAATCAAATCAATACTTTCAAAAAGCATCTTTTCACAAGAAGCAGATTTACTAGAAAATACTGTTTGCCTTCTATGCTTAAATGATAGCTACATTTCAAATTAGAACATCATTTTAGACTAGCTGGGTACAAAGAAGAAGGAAAAATGAGATCCCAAAGTATCTCATCCAGTGTTTCTAAAACATCTGGGTCAAGACTTGTCATTTCTGCAGAGATCACTGCTCCTTCTAGCACACTACAATGTTTTGATATAATGGTGCTCAAAACAAGAAAGGGAAATCCGTTCACAGCTCACTTTTTTGTGGAAGCTAAGAAAATAAAGTTTAGTACATAAACATTTCATCTCTTGAGACTGATCTTAAAACTTAGTTATAGACATTTAGTTATCAACCTGATGTGTGAAGAAATGCATTTCTTTGTCTAAGCTGGCACTTCTGTTCAGGACAGAAATGAATAAAATAGATGACTGATTGGAAAAGCTTTATAAGTATTTGGCACTGTGACTACCCACATTTAAAATGTACTAATGCTTTCCTAAGGTCTTATACCACAGGAAAAGAAAGGACAGTCAAGAACTCCAACATAATTTGCATCAACAGAACTTCCTGGTAAGTCTTTGTCTCACTGTGCACTGTAGGAAGATTTATTTTTAATGCTCGCTTATCAGTATAGTATAACCTTCTTTAGAAAATCATTCCACCACAGGTTAGTGTTTCAAGTTTTGCCTAAAAACTAGACATTCGTTCATACCCAACAGCCCTTTATTCATCCTTTCTCACTTGAAAAAAGTTATGTTTAAACACCTATACTTTTATGTTATACTACAAGTAATCATCAGGTGTTACTCAGCTGGGAGTGTACAAAATAGCTGTGGTAAGAGAAGCATTTATTGAAATATTTATATTATTATGCAGGAAATATAAACAACAGAAGCTAGCATAAGTCTATTTAAAACATACGACTTACCTTTTTGGTTTGGGTAGTCCCATTGGAGTAAGGTTAGGATCTGGCTTAGGAACAGTTTTCCTGATTCGGATCTGTGAGACTTTCTTTGGCCTCTTTTCTGGCTCAGTCTTGGGGTGGAAGGTTGGGAAGAAAAAAAAATTAAGATGAAGGAAGTAATTACCATGCTAGTTAACCAAATTCCCTTTTATGTTAAGTATACATTATCTATAGAAGAAAAATTCTCTATTCCTCTTTGTTTGGCCACCTTTCAAGCTTTCTGCTTGAAAACAAGAAAGCAGCACAGACTAGGACTAAGGGCCTATTTTCTCCCCTCATTTAACATTTACTAGGAAACATTCAGCAGCAGCAACTTTAAGTCCTAGGGAACAAGCGTCTGAGATACTTACAAATCTAAAATGAACTCACTTTTTTCAGTTCTGTGTTATCTTGAGATCTAAAACAGGCCGGAATGGAAGTATTAGCTTCATCAAGGTCAGGGACCTGGAGTTCAGATGCTGGAAGCCTGGGGGGAGATGGCAATGCTTCTGGAAGCAAGCGAGACTTTGGTAATGGAAGAAGGAATGAAGGTTCCAGACTGTAACAGAGGAAGAAGGGGATATGTGTAGATTAATACACATTTTATTCTGCAACATCATCCCATGCTCTCATATGATGTTCCTAAATTACAATATGGACACAAAAAGCAATGCAGTTCATAGGAATTACCTAAGTGAACACTTTCTCCACTACATAAATACAGCCAAAATCTTGCTGCAGGTTGCAAGTATACCAAAACAAACTAAATTGCCAGTATATTTGAACATTAATTTTAAAACCACTCTTCCTTTCCATATAGTTAAAGAGGTTATAGCTCTATTTGGTCATTACAGGTAGAAAGTGATTAATTCTCCTTTTCTGTCACCAAATTTCTTTGGCACAGCTATTAATTTAGTACTTTTGTTCACAGATAAATTTAAAAGACAGCTTTTATCTCTGCCATCCCAGCACTGAAAAAGAGTAGAAGGAAGTATCAGCACCTAATCTCCAGTTCCTCAAGCAGAAAGAACATATATCCAAGTAAGAAAAAAAGTTCTGTAGTTTTACATGCGTATTTCATAGTAAGTGACACAACATGTTTGAAAGTAACAGTGTTGTTCTGTACAGTGGTCTACATGGTGTTTGTGTGAATGCCCCTCTACACTCCTCCATGACATGATCCAGCCAGTGTAGAACTTTAATCAGAAAGCTATTCTTGAACTTCCAAAAACTGAAAGCCAAACTGACATAAACAATGTCTCTTTCTAAGAAAACTTACGATCGCACTACTTGGAATAAATATAAAAAGTCAAGACACTCACGATATCTCACGACCCAGTGTCTGTAGTGCTTCCATACTCTGTACAGGTAAGTGCGGTAACATGGCATAGCTGGTTCAAAAGAGTAAGAAAAAAACAAACAACAACAACAACAAAAAGACATAAGTTAGATCTACATTATAAAAAAAAAGAAGGAAAAATACCTTAGTATAAACTGGACTGCAAGACAAAAAAAAAAAAAAAAAAGCTCATATTGGGAACGGCAAAGGGAAGAAAGACTAATACCATACAAGAGTAAGCCACATCTGCAATTTAGTCCACTAACAATAAAATTTCACTGACAGCTTGTTAGGGAAATAGTCCTACTTTCACTTAAGAATGGTAGTGATAAGGAAATAAAAGCACAGAGAGGGAGACAAATAATTACAACTTTTGGAGTAATACCATGGAAATCTAAATTCCTCATTCAAAAACCCTAGCTTTTCAGATTAAACAAAAACCATGAAGTTTTTGTCCACTAAATCAAAAAGTCTATTGTGAAACAGCAGCAAGTACAAAGAATGATTTCCTTAAGACTCAATCTCTACCGTCTCTAACTCCCATAATCTTAGTGGAATAATCTTAATTGACTGGAATAACAAAAAGCCTTTCTGTAAGGGTTGGTAATTACCACAATTCTATGAAATAAAAATCATCACAGCAGCTTTGGGTCTTTTAACGTTAAGCTTTACTTTGTGTCCATACTGTTAACAGCATGAAAAATTAGTCAGTTGGAACAGCTTTTATTACATTACATAGCAAATCTTCCACTTGCTGCTTTCCCAAACTAGCAACTCAATGTACTTCACTGTTCTAAAGCAAAGAAGTTACACACAGACTGGAATGCAAAAAAATAAATCAAAATCAACCATGCTGGCAGCACGGATAAAATGGTATATAAGGAGGCTGGAAAGACCTATTTCTTGTATTTGTCATTTAATATCAGAACAATAACATTGCATTTCTCTCAGTGTTCTTACTCACTATCCCAACAACACTGGAATCTGCACCAACAATGCATCAGAGTTCTTGTGCAATTCAAAAAAAAAAATTACAAGAAGAGAGGAAAACACACTTCAGAAATTTTGAATCCAAATGAGTATTAAGTAGAAAAAGGAATTTCAATTAAAGAATGTTTTATTACTGGCTGTGGAAGTAACAGCACAAGTTATTAGGCAGAACTGTTGTAGTTCCTTGTTTTCCTGGTCATTTAAAACTGACAATGAATAAAACCATTTAAAGAGGACAAACTCTCTTCCAGAAGAAAATGGCCTTCAGAAAATTAGGAGCCACTTTTCAGTTTTTCTGATTTTTAACTATCTTAAAACAAGCAGAGATTTGTCATACTGGGAGCTGAAAATGCCTTTATACTGCACTCCTATTTCTTGTATTCTTACATTTACATGCCAGATACTTCTTTCACAGGAGATTATATATTTTTTTGAATACACACAAATTTAAGAGAGATATACTGAATTATCCTTGTCACTGTTCCTGTTAATGTGTTAAGAAAAATAAGACATATTAGTTGATGAGGACAGGCTATCAAGCTCTAGAAAAACTGAATCTAAAATGGTGTTAAATATTTTAAAGGCTAGGCTTAATTCTTTCAATTGTTTTATATCCCAATCCTTCAATTTTACTTTTTGTGTGTTTATTTTAAGAATAGGATTTACTTACTGCACTTTAAACTTCTGGGAACATTCTTTTAAACTTACTGCCTTAAACGCACCACAGTAACTTCATTTTAAAGAAAATCCAAGTGGGACAATGCAATAATTAAGTCTACCTAGTATGTATCTGTACATATCAGGACATATCTGAAAGGTATTTAAGAATAAAATACCAACTGAGTTTCAGGGTATTAAAATAACTTTGGGTATTTTTCACTTAGGGTGATAAGATTTGATTTGGCTTCTCTCCCTTTTGAATAAAGATCACTAATAGCAGAATATCTGTTTTGTTTTTTTTTTTTTTAAATTATCCTTTATGTCAAGGAATTAAGTCCTCTTATATTTTAGTTATGTGGATATGCTGTAGCAAGCTGCCTTGGAGTCTGTAGACTTAATTACAGGAGAAAACATGAGTATAATTCAGCTCAAATCTCACAGTCCAAGGATATCATATCTCCACAATATAAAATAGTAATTTTACCCCACACTTGGATGGAAGTTTTAAAAAGCAGGGGTTTTATTTTGTTTTTTAAAAGTGTAACAAAGTCTTATTTTAAGCTGAGTGCTCAAACTGTAGTTTACTGATACATTTACTTCCAGGGTACTAATTTATACACTTGAAAATTCAGTCCAGTAGAATATGCTGCGAAGTTGTCTCTATGCTATTATTCAACTTCAATCTTTTAGCGCAGAGAACTCCCAGAATGGAGTAACTCTTTCATATGCTCACTCAAATCTTTTCAGCGAGCAATCAAAATACTTAAACTTTTAGATACATTCTCCATTTACACAAAACAAAACACAGCATGAATTATATATAACTAAGATACGCCAAATTCAACAGTACTCTAGAGACTGCAATTTTAAACAAGAGTTGATCGAATTGGTTTTTATGCTGCGCTCATGAACCTATAACTCTGTCCAGGAATCTTAAGACTGCAAGATCAGGAACTTAACTGTCCTGTGGTGTCTCAGGTAGCAGAACTGATACATAAAACAGGAAAACGTTTGCTCAAGAGCAAGCAAAAAAAGTCTTCTACCAGAACTAGGAACCTCTTCTCTTATTCTGTTTCTCAGCAAACAGATCTCAAATGCAGATAACAACGTTAAGCGAGATATGCAAACTAGACTTCAGTCCTCTTCCCACTCATATTGAGGACAGAAATCACAATAATTGATCACCAACCTGAAAAGGAGCTATGCTTGCTTGTGCCAACAATACATCTAGCACATACTATCAAAAGACATAGCACATGTAAAGAGGTTTCAATTAGTATAGAACAGTTATGGAATACAATTAAAGATTTAACTGAATTCTCACCCCCATTAGGATTCTCCCTAAGCTAATATTGAATACTTTACAGTCATTCAAGTGACACTTGCGGCTCAGACCTCTGAAAAAAGCTCTCCTACCTCAGAAATCCAGTTGCTCTGCAGTCACTCTGAATACAACTAATGAAGTAGCTCACCTTTCTGCATTATATATTCTTGTGTGTATATTTGGAGTGGGAGAAGAAAATAGAGTTAGCCATTCTGCCAAAAGAGGATATTATTAAAGCAAAGGCACATATATTTAAATTCAGCTAACAGACTGTTCCATAGGGATGAATCTTCCATGCTGAGCCATTTTTGGAGCAGAATGTGTAGATTTGGAATGGGGGACACTGACCCTCCAACACAAGCTCCAATTACCCTCTCCCCCCAAAAAGGAGCAAGAACATACCCTATACATATTCATTCTCAGAAATAAGTTGATGGGTTTTACCTGTTCTCGATGCCCACACTTGGCTGCCACTTGCAGTGATTGGAATGAAGAGGAGTGATTTCGGAGGGACAGGCAGAAGGACCATGCTGACTCCATAAGGATAGGGCCCTGCCCAATGAGTACGGCAAGGAAGAGACGAGATCATCCGACACATTAGTTCGATACCTTGCCCCTTTCAAACCCTGTGTGAATTGGGACATAAATAGTCTCTGGACAGTAGGAATACGACTGGTTAAGTTTCTTCTTCTCGTCCAAATCCTGTAACATCCCGGGGAAGAAAGTGCTAACACTGTGTGAAGGCCAAGCATGGAGCAACTTCCCATTCTTTCAGCTACGGCATTTCTTCTGTGGTCGGGATGAAGGGCAACAGCCCCTGGGGTTGTTACAGAGAGAGGGGAAGGCAGATCATTATCTAGGCTGGAATCTTCCTTGAAAGTTGCTGCATCCAAACAGCTCTGAGACAGGAGAAAAGAGAATGTCCACTTTGAAGGTGGTGCCGGCATTTCTCCCAAAACTGGTCTGTGATGTCCAGAGTGCCGAGATGTACTCCCTGTTAGGTCTGTCACAGGATTGGAGTCCAATTTTATGTGAAAAGAAATTGGGAAAAGTGGGGTATCCAAGAAAGAGGATGGAGAATTGTTGCTCAAGTCTAAAAAAGATATTTTGGTAGATCCTACAGGATAAAGTGCCAAAGACTGAAAGCTGAACATCTTGGTACACCAACTGTCAGCCCAGCGTGAGTGTAAGTTCCTGTTAATGCAAGACAAAGCTTCCAATAGATTTTTAGATCTACGTTGGCTGTACCGCTCAGCCACTGGAAGGATTTCAGAAGAACATGGCAGTGGTTCTATGTTATGGATGCTTTTGGCAGGTGCCAGTAGTTTGCTAGCCATTGCAGACAGCTTGCTCAACAATGCTGGTTCTTTGGTACATTTTCTACACTTCAAGCTGTTCAACAAACTGCACCTCTTGGCAGAGAGCCTTGACATACGTACAAATCTCATGGCTATTTCCTTTTCCACTGTTGGTGGTTTGCATGTAAAGTATAAAGATTTGAGGAGTGTATTTTCCTGGCTAGGGGGCATTTCTGAGGGAGTCTCCAAAAAAGTTGAACTTTTATTTTTTTTCATTTTTCTTACTGTTTCTACTTGATACGAAGTGGGAACTTTTTTGCACGTCCTTCCAGGCTGTCTTTTTAATGGAAAAGGTCCTCTTAATTTCTTTGTAGTTCCAAAGGCACCGGGAATTCCATTATAGTTTAAATTAAGGTTCAGGTTTTCCATTTCTGAATCCTGAGTCTTCAAAAACTGTGAACTAATTGTATCAGGGGTAATCTTTGGCCTTTTGAGTTCTTGTAAAGTGCTATGTAGTTTATTTTCACTGCTTTTGAAAGCAAAAATCTCCTCTGAAGGACCTTGAAACTTTGTATTTCTTGCCATCACCAACTCAGTTGAAGAACTGCTTAAAAGTTCTGAACTGTCCAATATGCTTGGTTGCAGTGTGACTTTTGCTTTCACTTGGTATTCCGACTTCTTTTCTTGTTGTGCCTTCTCTGACAAATGTACCTCCATCTCCTCGTACTTTTTCTTTCGTTTAAGTGCCTGACATTTCTCTACTTGATCAAGTCTCTCCAAACCTAAAGCCTTATTTTCCTTGCAAACTGAATAAACTGGTATAGTGTCTTGAAATCCTGTAATTTTCTTTAAATTATCTTTGCTCTGCACATTTAATTTGTAAGGCACACATACTTCATGGCAAACACAATTTGGTGATGCTTGTTTGCAACTGTTTGATAGTATATTCTTAGACGGATAAAATGGGGATGTTGTATTATATGGGAATTCTGGTGAAATTTCTGTGTCAGGTGCATTTTCAGTTTGACAGTCTTGCACAGTTTCTGAACACTGACTGATACCTGCTAAGTGTGCAAGCTTTGTAGTATTTTTTCCTTCTTTTGAAAAATTTAGGTTAGATCTTGTGATTTCTTCAAAAACATTTTCACAATTCTCAATACTGACAGGGACCATTTTGCTACCAGATTCTTTTGTACCTTCTAACAAAGCCCATCGGAAATCTCCTCCATCAAGGAAAGGATGTATGGGCAACTGTTTTCTAGGAGCTATTTCTCTTTCAATCTTCTCTTCTACACATGCATTCTTAAACTTCCGTTCACAGTCACCACCTTCTGGTAAGGTCACATCCATGTCTTTTCCAGCTAGAACACATCGTGATTTGCTGTCAGAAAGGCTTTCAAGAGTTTCTTTACCTTCTCTTCCACATCTGTTTTCTTGTTCTTTTAGTTCTGTTGTCTCCACCTGAATTAGATCACTGATGAAGCCCACGCATCCTGAAGAGTCGGCATTTCTTATACCATTTAAAGAGTCAAAATCCACTCCCTTCTCTTTTACAGTTCCTTGAAAACCATCTTTCCTTACATATTTATGAACCAACGGAGGTAGGTCATCACCTTTTTTTAACAGTTTCTTTTCACTTTGACTAGAGACAACTGATGTTTTAGTTTCTTCCACAGAAGTAGCCACAGATTGTAAACCTGTGTTTGGTGGTTTGTTTAAACTTTCTAGATGCTTGCTGCCTGGAACTGGGCCATTAAACTCACTTTGATGTGCAAGAAACTGATTTTCCATTGGACACAGAGTCTTTTCTGTTTTGGTAGCATGTCTCCTTCGAATATTCACATTGCTGAGTAATGGACAATCACAGATTGAAGTGCTATACTCAGAAGGGTTAGCTGTGAGTGATGACACTTCTTTCTTCTCATATATGCCTAGTTCTTTCATCTTCGGGCCTAATGGAGAGTTGCAAAATCCAAAATTATGAACACATTTTTTTTTGTTCAGATATCTCACTAATAGCTCTTCACTAGTCTTACTTCTCCAATTGCATTCAGGAGCCTTTGGAGAACTCACAGGTCTTATATTATCAAATTCATCTGTCTGGAGAGCACACATGCTAATTTGTTCTTTTGCCTTATCTTTGCCACAAATAATTTCACTGACATCTGTTACCTTATAAAGATCAAATCGTTTCACATTTCCAAACTTCATATTATTATTTGAAACCTCATCTCCTACCAAGGTAGCAGTAGGCTCCTCTGCAGTGTAAGTTGAGCAAAACATGTTTTTTGCTGTGGAAATGTCATTTATCCCATGCAGAGCTACATCTCTGTTGCCCAAGTGATCTTCAGAAGGAAGAGATCCACATGCCAAAGGGAAGCGTTCTTCCAGAAAGACGACAGCCTTTTTACCATTACATCCAGATGAAGCTTCTCCTTCCAAACTATCATTTTCTTCAATCTTCATCTCAATGTCAGCCTTAAAAGAATGACTGCTTGGGAGAGCATCGTCTCTATGTGTACTCCCTGATAAAGTACAGGAAGTACTGGCAACTGTACGCCAGTATTTTACGCTCTGATTATTACAATGCCATGTGTCACTATGTTCATTTTCTAAACCGGTGTCCACACTTTCTATATTCCCTGCTAAAGACTTTTGGAAATTTTTTCTTATCATATTAGGAGCATCAAAAGTCTTGAGATTTACTGAAGACTCAAAATTGTCTCTATGAAGTACAAATTCAGCAACTTGTTCCTCTGTTGTCCCAGAAGCACCAACTGATTCTTTTCCAAATAGACTATCCTGAGCCTTGTCCCTGCTTGCAACTTCATTAGTACAAGGAAGACACTTATTACAGTGAGGTTCTCTTGATTTTTGTGCAACAGGAGGTAGAGTTACACTTAGTGTATAAATCAAATCAGTTTCTTTGCCAGTGGACAAAGTGTCATTACTATTGGCTTCTGTAGAGTCAACTAAACTGCCAGCCAACTCTTCTGACTTTGTATTACTCTCAGATTCCTTTTCAAACAATTGTACCTGAGGTGACCCTTTCTCTACCTTGGTAGTATGGTCCAGACAGCTATGGCTACTGGGATGAGAAGTTTTACTGTAAGAATTATAAATGCATACATCTGTCTGCCTAATTTCATGGGAACTAATACTGTTCATTTCCTTCAATAGTCTCTTTTCTTTTGCACCATCCTTGCATAGGTCACTGACAGAGAATTGCCAGTGGTCCTTCTTCCACTTATCAACTTCTGATGGGACCATTTTAATCTTTTCTTTTGAGAAATTCTCAGAATATGAAGGAATAGAACTAAAACCTGAAGAATGACCATGCTCAGAATTAGCACCCTCTGGAGCTTCAGGCAAGCTACCAGCTTCAATGTTACTTCCCACAGCAATTTTCCTTTGAGTTTCAGCAGCTTCTTCACATTCAAAGCTGTAATATTTACCTATGTTATCATTTTCTTCCCTACAATCAGTTTGAGCACTAGATAATTCTTTGTTCCTTACCACTGAGAGATGCTCTAATGGCATGAATGCATAGGTACAATTTTCTACAAACCCAGTTCCGTGATCATAATTAGTCTGACTTTCCATGTTTTCAGGAAGATACTTTTTTGGGGTTTCATTGATAATTTTATGCATTGTAGTACTAATGTTTTCTAGCAATATATTTCTAGAGTCCAGATAACAGATGCTTTTTGGAACTGAACATAAACCTTCCAAACTTTCTATGGAGAGCATTCTACCACTTTCTACTGATGACAATCTATTGAGTTCATTCTGTTTAGGTAGAGGAACAGTACAGAAGTCATGAACATTGTTTTCTTCATCCTGCTGATAAGTCTGGCAATTAGCAAGTGATGTACTGAATTCATTAACAGGATTTTGTCTGGGTAACTTATCTTTTCTAATCTCCAAAATAGATACAACATTGCCACCTGTTCTCAACCCATTATATTCACTTATTTCTTGTGGTTCTGTGGCTGTTTCAATGTCCATTACTTTTAAAGGCTCTGAAAAATCTAACAAGCTGGTTTCTGAAATTCCAGCTCCGCCCATGACTGTGTCTACATCTGAACATTGATTGCTCTCAGGTGGAAGTCCTCGACTCACACTGTCATTCTCGTATTCTACTTTACTAAATATCCTAGTCCCATCAGCTGTCATACCTTGTAGGTCTTCAGTGGGCTTTGGAAGAATTTCAGCTGTCACCTGAACACTGGCTTGGTTTTCTTCTGCATAAGAAAAATAACACAGATCAGCACCATACACTGAATGGAGAAGGCATTCAGCTTACTATGTTCCTCTTAGCATTATACACAATATTGTGTGTAGTCTTGGTTTTCAAAACTTATTCAAAGTCAATTGAGAAATGATGCTTGCAATGCTAATACAAGCCTTAAAAAAAGCAAACAAACAACCCCACCATAAATCTAATATAACAAACTCAATCCTTTTCAATACACACATTCCACGTGAGCAGGAGACATCCAAAGACCTGTATTTTTCAGATTCCTCTAATATCAGACTAGGCACGTAAGTGTAGTAATAGCAAGATATATATATATATATATATATATATATATATATATATATATAGTCCAGCTACAAAGCATAAGGAAATGCAAAACGTCTGCTATTAACAAGAGCTTCTGCTTTGGCATAAATAAGTACTCCACGGAAGTAACTAAACCCTATCTTTTACATAAAGGGTCTTCAGGAAAGTGCATATGCTATTCTGAAAAAGCAATGGATTAAGTTTGGATACTGTTCAAACTACACAGGGTAATAGCTTCTACTATAGAACAAAGTAAATGAGCTCTCTTACTCATCAATTTTAAATCACCAAAAAGGCATCTGTGAGAGAAGCAGGGGACAGATAGGGATGTAAAACTAAAAATGCACCTTTGTTCTTCAGAGATCCTGCTACTTCAGTGCAACAGCTTCTTGAAGACTTCACCTTATACTGGTTTAGGTGAGGATCCTCCTGAAACAGGACAAAAGTATCAGCAGAGTTTGATCAATTTGCTGAAGCATTTTGCACATTTCAGGAACTGTACCTGCTCATCTAGCTTGATTCTGTCAATAGGACAGACACCCTGAAGGCTAAGAGCACATCAGCCCTTGCACAGAAGCAGACTTGCTTTGCAACTAGTTCGTGCAAGCACTTGTAATTTCTTTCTGATCCTATCAACCAACAGCACCTCACCGTTACACAGTGATGCATCCAGAACAGATTTGTGTTTAGAAGCAGTAAAATCTTCCCACGCAAGCAACTAAAATGTAAGTGACTTAAATGGATATTGTCGCAAATGTGAGTGTCAGAAGAATAATCCAGTCACCAAGTCTATCTCACATCCCCAAACCAGTCCTGCATGCCTCTGGTAAGGTGCACACCTTTTCTTTTATTTAGTAGAACTTGCCTTGTATCATTCCTTTTCTTGGCTCAAAAACACATAAACCCAGGAACATGCAACCTAGGTCTGCTTTGGAAAAAAACAAAGAAGCAAATCATCAAAAACCTCACCACCAAGCTCCCTGCACATTTCAAATATGTGAGAGGCCATCTAGGAAAACTGACTATGGAACATTTTATGGTTTTTATTTTCATAACTCTTCAAATAAATCAAACAGTAATCAAAAAATAAGAATTAAAACCATAAAGTATTTTGGTATTATACAACATCCAGTAATAATTGTAAATTGTGCACCTTATTTCCTGGATGGTATATGTTCAGTCACAGTACCTTTTTTCTTCCCCGTGTTTTTTTGTATTTGTGAAAACTTCTTAAAAGTTAAAGAAAACTGATAGAGTCACTAAATATTTCAATTTTTAATAAAGAGTTTTGTGACTCTTCAGTTTTTAGTAGAGTATTTGGCACATTTTCTAGCAAGTCTTTCTCTAGAAGTACTGTTTTTATCATCAGTCTTTGCCAGAGTGGAGAAAAAACAAACCATGACCATGGGAGATTCTTGTTTTGAGAACATTAACAGTGAACTCTTGCCTCATTACAAACAATAATTCCAAAAATGAAGAAGAATCTTTAATTTTAGATAGAAAACTTAAATGCTAGACTGCATCATTAAAACACTATGACCAGACTGAAATAACTATTAGTTAGTGATTAGTACCTTGACCAGGGATGGTACCTGTGAAATTCACTGTACCCACAGAACATGGGCACTGGGTAACGATGCTTTAGTTACCAGTTCTTCCTTGTTACATACCTGCCTCCTAACACTCCATCAGGATTTAGCAAAGTTTGGTATTTTAAAATACTGTTGGTCTACTAAAATTCATAAATGTTCAGCCTGGAGAAGAGGAGGCTCAGGGGCGACCTTATTGCTCTCTACAGATACCTTAAAGGAGGCTGTAGAGAGGTGGGGGTTAGCCTGTTCTCCCACGTGCCTGGTGACAGGACGAGGGGGAATGGGCTTAAGTTGCGCCAGGGGAGTTTTAGGTTAGATGTTAGGAAGAACTTCTTTACCGACAGGGTTGTTAGACACTGGAACAGGCTGCCCAGGGAGGTGGTGGAGTCACCATCCCTGGAAGTCTTCAAAAGACGTATAGATGTAGAGCTTAGGGATATGGTTTAGTGGGGACTGTTAGCGTTAGGTTAGAGGTTGGACTCGATGATCTTGAGGTCTCTTCCAACCTAGAAATTCTGTGATTCTGTGATTCTGTGAAAATATACTCTCGTTTTTCATTGGGCCTGTGATAACCTAAGTAATGACACATGACAGAAAACATAAATAATAGGAAATCAAAAAGCCCTCTGCCTTGTCATTATAACCTTAAATGCAAAATACCACACTGGGATGATTTTTGCTATTTGCTTACTTGTTTCGACCAATCTCCAGGTGTTAAAGCACAGCATTCAGCACAATTCTTCTCAGCATCTTGTGCCCCTTTATCTTCGTGCTGGTATCCACCACCAGAACAGTCTAGTTCCCTAAAGTTTTGTCTTTTGCTTTTTTCATCCTCTTCAAGGTCTCTGTCCCTCGGTAACTCTTCAGGACGGGATTCTGCTGGCCCATGAGAAATTGCTCTGACCATATCATCCGGCTCCTCTGTCTTCTGGCAAAAGTCTTCTACCCCCGAAGTCCCGTGATGCTCAGATGACAGGCTGCTGCTGCGTGCGGGCACAGGTGTGGATACATCAGCCTTTGCATCCAATCCAACGGTAGGCTCTGATACTGCCATCAGCTCCGCGGGGATGCTGGCTGGCAGTCCCGCGTAGAACTCCTCTGTAACACCGCTGGTGGCAGAATCAAGGAGACATTCCACCCCAGCTGATAGCATCGGGGCAGCAGGAGGTCCGTTGTCTGGAGCTTTTCACGGCTTACCCTGAACACGAAAGCAACGTTAACTTCATAGAAAGGAATAACCCAGAGATTAAGAGAAAGGGCTCATTGTTCAAGATTCAAATGCGTGTTTAACAATGACACATCCAGCTATTTTTCTTAGGAGAGGAGCCGAGCAACATTTGAGCACCCAGGCAAAAGTTTCACTAACAAGAGCAGCGCACACAGGGATTGCTGAGGGGTCTTTTCGCATCGAGCCCTCTCCCAGCAGGCGCACCGCCAGCTGCAGATCGCTGAGCACACCTCGGGGCTGGCACCACCCCTCCATCACCCCTGCTCCCCCTCCCCCTGCACTACAACCAACGCGCTCCGCCGCCTCCCGCAGGACCGGGACCCGGGGCCAGCCCCTGCAGGCTCCTCCCTTGTTCCCCCCCGGCCCCTGGGAGCCTGGGGCAGCTCCGCGCCCCGCTCCCGTGCTGGGGGCAGGCGGGGCGAGGCGAGGGGTCCCGCTCAGAGCGACCCTGCCCAAGGCTGCCCGGGCACCCCCAGCCCGTCCCGGCCGGGCCCCCCCCGGCGCCCACCCGCTCCCGTTACCTGCGGCGGCCCCGCTCCGCTCCTCCCGCCCCCCCCCGCTCTGACCTCACTTCCCCATCCGGGCCGGGCTCGCAGCCGTTGCTACGGCCCCGCCTCCAGCCCCGGCTCGGCGGCGGCCGCCACCTGACGCGCGCGGGGCCCCGGATGCGGAAGCGGCCCTGAGGTGCCCGGGGGGCCTGGGGGAGGCGGCGGCATCCGGCGGGGGCTCGGCAGCGGCAGCGGCAGGTCAGCGCCCCGACAGCGGGGGGGAGCGGCTCGGGGCCCCCGCCTTTCTCCCCCCGTCCCGTAGCGGCCGGGTGAGGAGCTGGGCCACCGGCCTGCGCGCTCCCGGCCCGCCTCCGAGCCTCCGTGACGGGGCCCTGAGCGCTCCGGGGCGGGCTGACCGGCAGCGGCCCTGCTCGCTGCACGCCCGGCCGGGGAGCGCAGTGCTTGTGGAGAGCTCCTCGGTCCTAGGGAGTTTGTGGGAGCCCACAGGGCACGGCTTGTTCCTGCCCTGCGTGTGCACTGTTCGGGAGGGCTGCTTGCAGGTTCCCCCGCACGCCTCGGGTTGATGTAGGAGCCTCTGCGCGCTCCGTAAGAGCACAGCTACAGCAAACGTGCTCTAGAAGTTGAAAAACTTGTCATGTAATTATGTATCTGTAGTCGTTACCGAAGAGGATCTCGTTACTGGTAGCTTTCAGTTTAAGCACGCTGCTAAAAAAACTACATTGTAGCAGTAAATGCCCTCTGTCGAAATATGCTTTGCTTACTTTTCAAGTAGCAGGGGAAAAAACCGCGGTCGTTGATGCAATTGAAGTGTTTAATGCAAAGTGCCAAAACAGCCAATGTTTGCTTGGCCTCATCTGTGCGAACAGCTGCCTGCCCTCTGCTGGCCCGAGCGCTGCGGCGCTGCTGTGCAATCGGCCAGGTGCGGAATCCGATGGCTGTGAAAGACGGAAAAAGCCGTGAGGAAGTAGGGGAATCCACTTGTGGTACAAGAGCGCACAGTACAGGGACGAAAACAGAAGATACAGTTGGTAGTGGGTGTGAGTCTGGGTGTTCACTTTACTGCATTTAACACAGGGTTAGGAATTTATCCTTGAAATACAAAAGGTAGATCTTTAGAGAGCAGTGCTAGCTCTGATAGCAGTGCTGATAGAAGAGACATAATTTCTAAGCTTTTAGTTTGACATTTATTAAACTGTATAACGTGTCGTCAGCCTTTCGAGTGTGGCGTTCTTGACCATGTGGTGATACAGTACCCTTTGTTCACACACAGAGTATACAGAATAATTTTGTAATAACAAGATGTTTGTCCATGTTTGTTTTCATTTCCATATTAGATATGCAAGATGTCTTCAACTGTTTTTACTCAAAGCAGCTGAGAAGAACTTGAATTCAAGATGAGAACCAATAAGGTGTACAAGCTCGTCATACACAAGAAGGGTTTTGGAGGCAGTGGTCAGTATCTCGTGGCTCTTAACAGTGTGACCAGTACTTTTTTACTTCAAATCAATGAACCGATTTGCTGATGCTATTAACAAAATGGTGAAGGTGGAATTTTGTTGTAGCAGTATCACCAGCCAGACTGTGGAAGGCTCTTTTCTAATAGTAAGGTAGAATAAAATTACATTTATTTGTCAGAAAGGAATGAAATTAGACCTGTAAAATAAAATTGCTTCATCCTATTTCTTTCCCTTTTGTTTTGTTACTTGTCTTTTAACCCTGTATTTCAGTGATTCGTAATTGACATGTCTGTCACTCTTAGTTAATGAATTATTTTGGCATGTAGGTAGGTATATGGTCAGAATTTATGTTTCTGTGAACTTAGAATATCATTTAGTGATTGTTCTCTAGTTGTAGGCTTAAAATCAGTGTGTTACTTAAGCTTGCTAAAAAGATTCTATAGACACCTACTTTCCTGCTGGTGCTTGTGATATGAAAAGTACAAAAGAATATTCTTCTTGCCTAGGAAAGGCCTGCTCTTTTGCTGAGCAAGTCTTTTGTGAAAGTCCTGTGATTTGAAAGTAGTTTTGGTCACAAGATTGGCCAGACTGCAGTGGCTGCATAGAGGCCATATTGTGTCGTGAATGTGGCGCATTAGTGATGTGTTAATCCTGGGCTAGTGAATTTATGTTGAGCAAGCTAGTGTGTATAAATGTGTAAGTATCTGTGTTTGCTATATATTTGTTAACTGTAGTTTTCTGCATTCATTTATATCTTGAAGATGATGAACTGGTGGTGAATCCTAAAGTATTTCTTCAAATCAAGCTGGGAGATGTTGTGGAAATTGCACATCCCAATGATGAATACAGGTGAATTCTCTTTTTGCTACTATTTGTTAGTGGAGTGTGGTTAGAATGTTGAAAGGGCATGTTCATGTACAGCAGCTCCTAGGTTTACAGGATAATTTTCTTGTAGAAATTTAGAGGATAAAATTCTTTTGGACTTGGATAACTTTGCTTCAGGAGGTTGCCACGTTTGTTTGTTTTTTCTTCTAAATAAAAGTAAAGGGGATAACTGTAGTGGGAGCTCTTCCTCCAAGTTTGTGCAATTCTTTGTGTTTGTTGTTTGCTGACCTTTCATAGGGCAAGTAGCACCTGAATGTGGAGAGGTCAATTACGTCTATTTTATTCATAGAGCTGCTGTTACCTAATGATTAGTCTTCCATTCTATAGTATCTCCTAGGCAAAATTAAAACTTCCTTGTTTGCTATAAAAACACGAACCTTCATTGTGAAGCTGCTCATATTGCAGCCTATGTCTGAAGAGTAGGAGTATATCTGTATGAGATTCTGAGATCTTGTGTGACTTACTTCCCCATTTAGAGTATCATCTTTACCTAAAGAGTACCTTATAGTTATAATAGGAAGAACATCTCAGGGTGACAGGCAGAGAGCATGGTGTATTGAAGCTTTCCAAAAAATACTAATGTTTCTGTTTAGCCTATCTCCTGCTCTGTGTTACTAAACAGTTTTGAAAGTGATTTATCCAGAGTAGACTGTTGGTGTCTCAACTCATTTACCTTTTTTCTTTCTTGCATGCTAGCCCCCTGCTCCTACAAGTGAAGTCACTGAAGGAAGATTTACAGAAAGGTAAATCTCTAGGCTCATGGTATGCGTAGTAAAATCACAGACAGTGGTTGTGTGATTGGACTGTATCTGTGATTGAGTAATGCACGTACTTCAGCTTGTTAAGATCATGGCTTTGTCTGGTTAGGGATGGAAGGATTATCATTTTTATCAAAAAGTGAAGAGCCAACTTTAAATCTGCTTTTGGTTGAGTTAATGTGAGGTAGAGTTTGAAAAAAGCCTTCAATTTTTGTTTCTGTACTGTTTGAATGGCTACGTGTCTTTTCTTCTTGCAGGAATTAATTCAGACTAAACTTTTCACTTATCTCCCCTGCTTGGATTTTAATGAATCTTAAATTGGGCAGTAGTTGAAAGAAGTTGTCTTTTGCTAAGGCCCTAAGTTTTCACACCAACCTATATTGCTTTTGTACTTGCAAATCACCTGGAACCTTTTCCATAAGTTCTTTTTTCTGTCTTTTCTCATTGTTGTGGCAGAAACCATAAGTGTAGATCAGACTGTTGCACAGGTATTCCGTCTTCGGCCATACCAGGATGTCCATGTGAATGTTGTTGACCCAAAGGTATGTGGTTTTGAAACTTTTCCTATCTGTCCTGTCACTTAGCTCACATTGGGGCTTTGTGAATTTCTGTTTACAGTAGTGTTGTAAAAAAGGCCTTTTTTTTTTTTTTTTAAAACTGAAATGGATTTTGCCCTTCTTTCCAAAGAAAATAAGTTTTGCGCAATTTCACTATTTGTATTTGTTATGGGACTCTTTCTTCTCTCCCCACCATCCCCACACTCTTGAAGTCTATGCACCTGCTTGATAAAAATTTAGAAATTTTAACTACATTTACACTCCAGAAATTGAAGGTAAGCAAGCAGAGAGAAAGGAAACTGTAAGTGCCCCAATCAAAAGAAAAGCCATGGCATGGATTTGCGTTATTTCACACCAGAGAACCTTGCAAGAGAGGCATCTCTTGTAGATGTCCAACTAGCTAAAGGGCTTCAGTCAGTTTACCTTCAGTACAAGACAAAAACTTGCAGAAAGCTAGGTTTCCTTAATGTTATGAACAATGGAACTCATTTGTTCCCCTTGTGCTTTTAGTTTGCTTTGAGAGTTGTAGAACAGGTAATCCTGGTGCATTGTCTTGCAGCTTGCAGATGTTCCAGCTACATGCATAACTCTGGTGGTTGTTCTGATGGGGTTTACTTTTTGTGTTATGTCTGTTAGGAGTATTGAATTGCTCTAGAACAGCCCTGACTGTGCATTGGGTTCTTAGCGGAACAATTGAAGGGTGCTGTATTAGAAACAAACAGTAAAATTTAAGCGCTTCCTTTTGTTTCCCAGGACGTGACCTTGGACTTGGTGGAGCTGACTTTTAAAGATCAGTATATTGGGCGTGGGGATATGTGGCGACTGAAGAAAAGTTTGGTAAGGCCTATGCAGTCCTCATGTGCAGGGTTGAGGAGGTTACGTACATTTTTCTTTCCTTGCTGTAAAAGAAAATAAGCTTTTTACAAAATAAAAAAATAAAAACAAAACAAAAAAAACCTTAGAACAGGACCAGTGTCACGAACTCCTGAGGAATGAAAGCTTTAAGTAGGACATTAGAGTTGGAGAAATAAACATAAATGTTATAGAAAATAATAAGTTCCATCATTTCCTACTCTGTTGCAGTGATTTTAATTACTGCCTTGGGTACTGAAATGCTGCTGAGAGTTTTTTCTCATGTTCTGAATTTTAGTGATTTACTGCCTTTGGAAGGAATTAAATCCAGCTGTTTTTCAAGTAGAAGTATGCTAACGTACCCTCTCTTGGATGATACTGCTTAATAATTAACTATCAGATTTTTTTTGTTTCTGTATCTCTGAAGAGCAGTCTTCGAGTTTTCTAGGGACGGTGAATTAGAGAAATGATTCCAATCAAATTTAGCATCTGTTAAAAACTATTTTCCATGCTGCCTAGAAGAGGTTCTAGTTTAAATGTTTTTTATGGCAGAAGTCTTGTGTTTGAGCATTTTCCATTCTTTTGCAAATCTGTCTGCTCACTCCAAGCCTAATG